TTCGTTCAATCAACATTATTGATAAAAAAGTGTATTTGAAAGTATTAAAAACATATAGTGGGTCCATTTTAATGTCATTTGATTAATTATCACTATCACACTTAATCCTAATCTGACTAATATGTCCCGCCCCATATGACCTTAATATCGCATTAAAGAATAGACACCGTAATGATTCATCGAACGTTCGAGAACAATCGTTCCGCTGGAATGGAGGCGTACATACGAGAACATTCTAAACCTTCTCTATACACCTAATGATCTAATGGACTATTCGAGAACTGTTTAGCTGTGGGTATATAAGCCGACGCCTGGGGCCTAAGGGCGACAGAAACAATCGGTCGACGTGTACAGTTACCGCGCTAAATTCAAAATAAATTCCTTTTATATAAATAGTTAGATAAATGTAAGATAAATAAGTTGCAAATAGTTCTTTAAGTAGTTTTATCGTTATTGTTTTGTTACATAGTGTAAAATAAATTGTGTTTAAATAAATTTGACTTTCTATCCACACGGAACCGACGAAAAACGTAACAATATGTAGACTTATTTTTTTCTGAATTTCATTAAAATTAACCATTTTTCTGACATGCAATGAACAAAATTTTATACTACTGACAACTACAGACTGTTCTGCAGTCATACAATAATTTTCATCATTTGACGACGTTTCGTGCACGATGAAACTCCATCATCAATAATAAAAAAACGTCTTTATTGCACTAAAAAACAAAAAGATAGTAACAATGTCAATCAATGGCGAAAAAATCGTCCAATTTTAATGAAATTTGGTATATATCGATAGATTGGACCAAGGCCAACTTGACCGTATACGACACGTGTCACTGTGACAGTTAGTTTTGACGTAAGAAACATAAAAAGTTGATGTCGTCCGATCGGGACCAAATTTGGTATGTCGGCTACTTGAGGACGGTGCACGCGGTGCCACCTTGCAAAATTCTGACTAACGATTTGATATTGAAAAAAAATGTGGGTCAATTTCGGTATAATTGGAGACGGGTGACAAGACATCAGGATTTTCCTTAATTATGGGTCGATTGGAACCAAACTTGGCACATGGATAGAGGTACCATGGAATGGAGTAATCAGACGTACAGAGGCTCATTTTAATGCGAATTTTGCGAAAGTTAATCAAATTATTTATTAATTTATTACTTTTTCAAACATGTCCTTCAAATCCTTCAAATTAATGCTGTTAGTAACAAGTTTCTCTTAACATAGGCGCACATACTATTTATACACAATTTTTTATTACCGAATTTATTCCATTTTTTTCATATCCTCTGTAGTATTATTTTATTCACTAAACAATTCACTGAAATTATTTATTTATTAACCAAATAAAAATCACTCCCTGCAAAATTGTGATGCCGAAAACGTAGCTATAAATTTGGCTTGTCGAGTGGTTGGCCCATATTTCTAATTATCAGTGCTTTAACCCCCCGCTTTACTGACGCAAAAGGAAATAAAGAAAAATACGAGAAAAAACTGGCGGAAACAGATAAAATGGAACAAACCTTTAGAGGTATTAAATGGACTTTTCTGGCAATATGTTTCGAGATATTTTATTTAGCGCAATTTTGCGCCAAATTTACTAAGTGTACGAATTTAATATAGCAGATGATTTTGGTAACATATTGAACAAATATATACTGATATTCTCACTGGCTAAATATTTTTTATTATTAAAATCTTATTTAATGTTGTACGGAGAGATGCAGTGACATAAAAGATATTTATATTGACTAATATGATGATAATCTCTTTGCCTATACCGGGTGCGTCTTAAAAGTGTCTCACCCCTATAACTTTTTTATTTTTTCAGATAAGAAAACAAGATTTGGTATATTAGTATATGTCATAAATTAGGATTGACTGACACATTCAATTGTTTGCGGTCACTCAATATTTTTTGACTTTATTCGATAAAAATATGATATTCAACTTTTGACATTTTCGCTTAAAAGAGTGCCATGGCTAAAAACAGTAATTTTTAATCATGGATTCTTGGAAAAATAGATTTGATCGTTGAATGTTTTTCGTGTCTTGCCATGGAACTGTCATATTTATTATACAAACCAATAATCCAACGAGAATTTTCGTATAATTTAATAAAATTACTGAATAAATAATGAATTGTTTGTAACTGAGCGGTATTTTTTGTATTATTAATCTGGTAAATGATGGAGACAAACAATCGTGATTGATGAAAATTTTATTTTTAGGTGGAACTTTTAACAAAATTCTGAAAATTCGAATAATGAATTGAATAATGACAAGACAAGTGACATCTGTCTAAAAAAGACAAAGATTTAGAGTGACAATTTGGTTACCTATGTAAAATTTAGAGTGACAGTTTTGATTATGCAAAAGAAATACTGGTTGCCTAACGATTAACAATAATTTAAAAATAAATCCTCAACATGAAAATGAACAAAACATTTAAACAAAAACAGACCACAGACTACACAAAACAAATTGTTAGTAGCAGTAAGTAGTAGTCAGAGATATAGATGTAGTAGTATTTTTGTTTAATGACCACAGCTATCCGGGTGGGTAATAGAATTACCGTTTTTTAATAAAAATTAAAAAAACATTATCTATACTAATATATATAAAAAACTTAAGTGACTGACATACTGATTAATCACGATCCTGCTCAAACCACTCAACGTAAGAAGCTCAATTTTGGCATACAGGTTGATTCTAGGGTGTAGAGGTTCGATAAGAAGGGATTTTTCGAAATTCCAGTTCCAAGAAGGTAAAACCACCCCTCAAATATTACAATATTTTTTATTTAAAAAATGGTCAAGTTTCCGAAAAAACGCTTAAACACGTATATTTTATTTTGTTTTTTTACATATTTTAAGATTTTTTGAAAATGTATACAGCGTGTTTCAAAAAATCTGGTCATTGATTAATCACGATCCTGCTTAAAGCGCTTGACGTAAAAAGCTGATTTTTGGAAAACAGATTGACTTTAGGGTGTAGAGGTTCAATAAGAAGGGATTTTTCGAAACTCGAATTCTAAGGGGGTGAAACTATCCCTCAAATATTAAAATATTTTTTATTTAAAAACCGGTGAGTTTTTCGGAAAAACTCTTAAACACGTATATTTTATTTTGTTGTTTTACATATTTTAAGATTTTTTATAAATTTATACAGGGTGTTTCATAAAATATGATCATTGAGTAATCACGATTCTGCTTAAACTGCTTGACGTTTAAAGCTGATTTTTGGCAAACGGATTGACTGTGAGGTGTAGAGGTTCGATAAGGAGGGGTTTCTCGAATATCAAATTCCAAGAGGGTGAAAACGCCCCTCAAATATTACAATATTTGTTATTTAAAAAACGGTTAGTTTTTGGGGAAAACGCTTGGACAAGCATAATTTATTTGTTTCTTTTACATATTTTGAAATTTTTTAAAAAATCATACAGGGTGTTCCAAAAAGTTGGGTAATTTCTTAACCACGATTCTGCTTAAACTGCTTGACGTAAAAAGCTTATTTTTGCCAAACGTATTTTTCGAAAGTCAAATTCCAACGAGATGAAACTACCTCTCAAATATTACCAAGTTATATGTATAATAATATCGCCCTATTGTTTTTTCTCATGCTGACATAAATGTGAGAAAATTTTATCCAGTTTGTATGTTAATGGAAATTCTTGCTTTGCTTTATCATCACCATTACAAATGTTTAATTCGACGCGAACGAAGTCGCTGGTACACGCTAGTAAAATTATAAAGCTAGAATAGTATACGGTTTTATATTAACTCTAATTTTTTTGAAGTTCAAGAAAAAACATTCATAAAAGATATATATATCCATCAAATCCTTCCATTTAATAGCTGTCAGTAAGAAGTTTTTGTCCAAAAAATAAAAAAGGTATAGGGGGAAGCCACGTCTGAAAAACACCCAGTATACCGGGTGCGTCTCAAAAGTGGCCCACCTCTATAATTTTTTTATTTTTTCAGTTAAGAAAACGAGATTTGGTATGTTAGTATATGACGTAAATTAGAATTGATTGACGTATTCAATTGTTTTTGATCACTTCCTGTTTCACCGGAAATGACTACAACTTTTGATTTTTAAATAGCACCCCTCCTATATTTTTACTTTATTCGATAGAAAATAACACTCTGAATAGAATGACATATCATATGTCAACTTTTGACATTTTCGCATATGGTTTATTTGAAATTAAAACTTGCGGTTTGTAACACAAATCTGACTCGAAATACCAAGTGTGTGGTATCAAATTATTCTTAAAAAAATGCTTTTTCCAAATATGGTAATGAGCCACCCTCGTTCCATTTGAAAAAATTGAGATATGATTAAAAATACGATTTGGAGATTTTTTAACCGGTCAGGACAAGACACTAAAAACATTAGACGATCAAATATATTTTTCCAAGGCTCCTGGATTAAGAATTAGTGTTTTTAAAATAACCATGGCACACTAAATTGAGATTTAAAATACGATTTTTTGTTTATCGAGAATGTCAAAAATTGACATATGTCATGTTATTCTATTCAGAATGTCATTTTCTATGGAATAAAGTAAAAAAATACCGAGGGTGCCATTTAAAAATCAAAAGTTGTAGTCATTTCCTGTGAAACAGGAAGTGACCAAAAACAATTGAATACGTCAATCAATCCTAATTTATGTCATATACTAACATACCAAATCTCGTTTTTTTAACTGAAAAAATAAAAAAGTTATAGGGGTGAGCCACTTTTGAGACGCACTCGGTATATGAAGATTCTCTAATTTGAAGAAGAAACTTTAACTATCGATAATGACATGGCAAAATAGGAAGAATCAATCAACACTTATCAATTTCTGGTTGATTTTCAAAAATTGATAGAGGTCACAGTAAAATTACCCAAATTGATTCTTCCAGTTTTATCTGTATAGTCTTCATATGTGTTATGGAAACTGGCATGTGTTTGCATATTGGTAGTCGTGTACTTACCGGAAACTGGAACAAGGATGTATGACCCAATGCCCCGACGCCTTCTGCCTGATCCTTTCCTTCATCAGCGCCTTCTTCGAGCCGAACAGCTTCATCGCCAGCTTGTTGTCCGTCGGCTGGAACAGCGCCTGCAGCTGGTTCTTGAGGAAGCTGGGCTTGCCCGCCTCCGCCGACCCGAGCGGCGTCGGGCCCGGCTCCTCTTTCGGCGTCCCGTACAGCGACACATCGTCCAGCCCGAAGTGGACCTTGCCGCCGCTGCCCTTGTAGTTCATGTCGTTGGAGAGGCAATCGGCGATGAGCAGCGTCTCGTCGTCGAGCGCCGTCACCAGCGAGTCGGTGCACGTGTTGGTGTTCTCGATGCTGATCTTGATCGAGTCATCCTTGGCGAGGCGGCGCGGCGGCGGCGAACGGATCTCCTCTTCGGACTGCGCGGCGGCCACGCGGCCGTTGGCCAGCCGCAGACTGGGCACGCGCCGGGAGGCCGACCGGCGCTGCTCGCCCCCGCCGCCGCCGCAACCGCTGTCGGGGTTGGCGGTGCCGCCGCCACCGTCCCTGGAACAGGAAGAGAAAAAGGGTTAGAGAGGGGAGCACGTGAGACGCGCGTGAGGCAGGTCTAGATTGTCGCGGAGTGTAAAAGCTATGTGCCGGAATGTAATTAGCTATTTAAGTCTTTCTCAGGCCGTAGACATTCAATAGTAATTTTATAGGACTACAAATTTAGTTTCTTCCAACAAGTGCAACGTTTTTAAATACATTTTAAAGGAATCTGGGGTGGCACTAGTGTTGCACAAGACAAGAATTCTTGTCTTGAAATTCAAGACAAGAAATTTTGAAAGTCTTCTCTTGCAGATTTCTTGAATGGCAAAGTCTTGTATTGCCTTGCAAGACTCTTGAAATTTCTTGTCTTGAAAAATTTGAACACAATTTGGAAAAGTTTGGAGACAGGGTGTACGGAAAGATCATGCTAGAGTGTACTATTTGCGCTATTTGATACTCTTTTTGTTCGCGGAGCAATTTCGTGCATGAGAAGTAGTACCAAATAGCGCAAATAGCGTGCTCCACGAACCCACCGTTTCAACTACCGTTAGTTTTTTTATAATACCATTATGCCAATATAATTTTGTGTATAATACCAATTACCACATACGGTTTGTTGCCTCGGCTTTATTTTATTTCATTCTCAACTCTACAACACTGGCTATGATAGAAAAAAATGAACACTGGTCAATATTAATGCCAGGTTTATACAACATTTGCATAAGTCGTAATCATAATCACAGTCTTAATCATCGTCATAATCACAACGCAATTTTAATGTGCGTTTATAGAACATTTCATAATTTTTATATCAGTGAAGTTGGGTAACATAATTAAAGGCTAAGTTCCTGGTAGATGTCAACAGGTTTATAAGAACTGGCTAGTTTAACTTTTATGATTATGACTATGATTGTAATTACGACTATGTAAATGTTGTATAAACCCGGCATAACTTGCGCAAACACCTAAGTATCACTTAAACAAATGTATCATTTGTAACTTTCAAGAAAACTTGAATTCAAGAAATCTTGCAAGACTCGTGAACTTTCTTGCATATTAAAGTCTTGTCTTGTCTTGAAATTCAAGACAAGACAAGACTTTTGTGTGAAACTTGTGAACTTTGTGAACTTTTTCAAGACTCTTGTGCAACACTATAGGTGGAACTCTGTAACTAAATAGCGATGAAGAATACTGTGGCTTGCCATTTACAATAGTTTATACAGCCAAGGTCAGTATTCTTCATTGGTACCGATCGCTATTTACAGAGTTCCACTCCTGGTGTCCATGTCCATGTCCCATGTTGATGTCCAGTGTTGCAATTCATTATATTGTCGTTATAAAATTTAATAAAATTAGTATACTTTTTAATTTACACAACAAAAACAAACAAATATTTTCACAGATTACCCATTTGCAAATAAAACGCTACATATCAAACAAATATAGTATAGTAGCAAACATAGATATTAATAAAGCATCGTCCAATGAACATTTTTAAGATTCCATAATAAAGGAAGTCATAATATACCGGATGCTTCACAAAAATGCCTCACCCCTGTAACTGTTTTATTTTTTAGGTAAAACACGAGATTTGGTATGTTAGTATATGACATAAATTAGGATTGTTTAATTATTGTTAAATTAGGACGTATTCAATAATTGTATTTAGTCACTTCCTGTTTCACCGGAAATGACAATTTTTAATTTTTAAATGGCACCCTCGATATATTTTTACTTTATTCTATAGAAAATGACACTGTAAATAGAATGAAATATATGTCATTTTTGACATTCTCGCTTAAAAAAATCGTATTTCAAATTTCAATCTATAGTGCCATGGCTGCATTAAAAACACTAATTTTTAATCAAGGAGCCTTGGATAAATAAGTTTGATCGTCTAATGTTTTTCGTGTGTGTCTTTTCCTGGCCTGTTAAAAGATACCCAAATCGCATGTTTAATCATATCTCAGTTTTTTCAAATGGCATATTTGGAAAAACATTTTTTTACGAATAATTTGGTACCTAATACTTAATATTTCGAGTCAAAATGTTGTTATGAACCGCATGTTACAATTTCAAATAAACCATATGCGAAAATCTCGATACGTCATTCTATACAGAGTGCTATTTTCTATGAAATAAAGTAAAAAAATACGAAGGGTGTTATTTCAAAATCAAAAGTTATAGTCATTTCCGGTGAAACAGGAAGTGACCGAAAACAATTGAATACGTCAATCAATCCTAATTTATGTCATATACTAAAATACAAAATCTCGTTTTTTTACCTGAATAAATAAAATAGTTATAGGGGTGAGCCGCTTTTGATACTCACCCGGTATTTTAAGCAAAATGGCCATGAAGTCTATAATAAAACTGACAGGTAAATTATTTTAAAGATCATTAAAATTTAAAAATAACAATATGTCGGCCAATGTTGTATAAACAAATTAATTTTGAAATAACTATATTTCTGCTGGAATATACAGTATGTCCTCGTTCGTTTATAATAATTAATGATTTTTTACTACAAACGGCAGTAAAAATGTAATTTTTAACGCATGCTGTCAGTGACTAAAATGTAACATTATGTCACTGATGGTAAAAGTCATTTACTTAATGCCAGTGCTAAAAGTCACGTGATTTACTTTTAACACTGAAGCGATAACAATTACCCTAGCAACCATAAACTTCATAATTAATTTGATTTCAGAATGACATATTATGAATTATTCATTAACGTGAAAAGTAATAATACCTTGATATATACGAGCATAAACTTGTTTGTAGAAAAAATAGTGTATGATATGTGTGCTAAAAGTGATTTTATTTTGTTCGAAGGGATGGGACACTCCGCCTCGGCGTCGTGTCCCAAGCTTCCCTTTTCACAAAATAAAATACCACTTTTAGCACTCATATCATAAATAACTATTAATGTGTTTGCTACAATGGACATGGTTCCTTGCTTGGTGTGAAATTGAATAATTTATTGGACAAAAGCTATTGAAACACCCAATATCCAAAAAAGCTTTATACCTAATTATTTCCACTCTACTTATAATTTAACTAAATGTTTATCAAAGGGGTTTAAGCATTTACCTAATTATAAATAAAAAAGTTTAGAATTTATCAACAAAGTTGAGAGTTTCAAATTGCTTGATGACGAAGTTTCCTTTGATGTATCTTTGTTGTTTCCAGGAACAAACAAGCATACTCCTTCCACCTACTTTAAATTACTTGAAGGAATTACTTGGCGTGATAGCAACCTCGACAGCGTAATTGTATATAAACATATTTAACGTCATTGTTGTTTACGAAACTAAATTATTTTGTCTTTAAAACAATTTAATTAATAACTTTGGGCAATCCATTATCTTTTCTGTTTTAGCAAATTCATTCATAATAGGTTCGAGGTCGCAGGGACAAAAGTTATTTCCCTAGAGTATGATTCACTATGGTGATGATATACCGGGTGGTGCATCGCCGATAGAAACATAGGAAATCGTATGCGCATTTTGAACTGTCCAGTTATTGGCTCCCCTGTTAATTTTAAAGCGAAGTTGTAAATATACAGGGTTGTTCACCACCTACGACACGGAGTATTGTACTAGACGATTAGATTTTTACAAATTGTAAGTTTTCGGTTCGTTGAAGGACTATTAGAGCTACAATTTAAAAATAATTTTACAAGATACGGACTGTCCCAAATAAGTAAAATATATTATAGTTGTATTTTTTTAAATGGACCACCCTGTATATTATTCTATTTTTAGATTCTACGATTGAAATAAAGGTGAATTTGATTAAGGTTTGTTACACTTAAACCGTACCGTTTTTGAAATATTTTCAATTTTATGAAATTGCAGTAAACATTTTAAGGCTTCATTTCTCCAAGGGTATAAAAGTTTTTAGTGCTAAATATTTACTGAAGATTATTTATTGATTAGATATTGTGTTGCAATAATAAAAATTATAATACCTTATACAGAGTGTCTAAAAATTTATATTAAATAATAATTACTACATTTAAACGGCGCAATAACTTGTTTAATTTAAATAAAACACCCTGTATATTTGCGAGAATCAGATGCACAATTTAATTGTCTCTCAAATTGTATTATACCATTTATTATCTCCTCAAGTTTTCGTAGAAAATGCATTTTCTTATAATTTAAGCCTCATTATCATTATACCCATGAAAATTTTTAAAGATGTAACAAATTTTTACAAAATACAGATACTAATATTACCGATATAGTTCGTTTATTTCATTAAAAAATAAAAAAAACTGTTTAAATATTTGTTAACGAGGACCAAGTTAATATAATTCCGGTATTCAAACTACATTAATTGACTGTTTACTTAATAATAACTGCTCCAGATACTAAAAAAAATTGAATTTTGTTTGTGTATTAGACAGTGTGGTAAAAAGTAACACTTTATAAACTTTTTATTTCATTTTTTGACGAATGCTTATTAATAACTACAGAGACGTTCATTTTCATAACTTATTATTATATTGATTTCTCAATCCAATCCACATTTATTTAGAATAATTTGTTACCTAATTAAAACAATTGAGTATGTAATTTACTAATTTTTAGGCGGGAATAATGATGGTATATTTAATTGGTATACTCTTTTACAAAGATTTAAATAGTTTTTTTTTGTAAACAAATGGGCTTGCAATATTATTATTTTTTAGCAACATATGTACATTTTGTAAATATGTTGCTTTAAAAAAATTTCAAATGTCAATATTCCATGGGTATAGTGATAAATGGAGGTCTAAATTATAAAAAAACGCATTTTCTACGAAAACTTGAAGAGATAGATAAAAATGGTATGATATAATTTGATAGACAATTAAATTGTGCATCTGACTCACGTAAAATATACAGAGTGTTCCATTTAAATTAAACAAGTTTTGCCGTTTAAAATAACTAGTAATTATTTAATATAAACTTTTGGACACTCTGTATAAGGTAGTATAATTTTTATTATTGCAACA